AATTTATCCAAAATCATGCAAACCATCATCTCATATTTCCATCATTTATTTTTCCAGCTTTCCGTGTTATTCGCATTATTCCCGTCAGGAAGTGGGAGGAAAAATATGGGCGCAGGAAGGCGGATGTCTTGCAAAGAACACGCGTTAGAACCAACAAAGAGATAATGAGATAATGAGTGAGAGAGAAAGGGAAAGAGAGATAAAGAGAAAGAAAAGGAGATAGAGAGAAAGAATAGAAAGATAGATAGAGAAATAGTAAGAAAAAGAAGGAAAAAATGTAGAGACATGTATAAATGCGAGAGATGAGTACCAAGCAGCAGTATTGTCTCATTTATGGATTAAACATCAGAAACTTACTTCCCATGAAGAGATGGCGGAAGTGCAGAAATCATTACAAAAATGTTTCCACCGCCATTTTCCCGCTACGTACGTACATGTTCTCTTCGATTTTCCACCTCTTTTGTTCTAAATTTATTTTCGTCTCCGTTTTTTTTTTCTTCTGGTTTATTTTTTTATGATTTTTGTTAACTTTATTTTTACCATTAATTTAAATCTTGTTTTTACTTGTTCATTTTTTAGTCATAATTTTTTTGTGCACTTTTACACTCGAACACTTTTAGCAGATAAGATAAAAACTGGACGCTAATAGCAAACACACAATGAAAACAAAAAATTCAATAATTTACGTACGCACACACAAACACACGCACAACCACACGCACAACCACACACGTTCATACTCATACATATTCAGGCAATTTTATTTATTTATAAAAAATGAGAATAGATGGAAAGAGAAATGAAACTAAAACACCGGTTATAAGAAAGAAAAAAGACCACAGTATATTACACACATATATGTATAAACATACACATGGATGTATCAAATGTATCTGAATGTAACATGCATGCATATATCAATGTAATCGGAATGTATTTAGTTTCAGGTTTTTGCACGTCAATACATGTCTTTTTCAGTAATTGTAAGTGTTTCTATGTTTGTTTGCAGATATGTCTGTTTGCGCGTCTAGGTAGGCAGCTATGTGTGTTCGTACTTAAATAAGCTAGTGCTAATATGTTTCCATATTTATTATGGCCTATGCGTTCGCATACATATGCGGGCAATTATTTTTATTTATGATTATATCTTTGTTGTGTGGTGTAGTGTGTGTGTGTGTGCGTGTGGAACTGCGTGTGTGGAACTGCGGGTTTAGCGTTTGATAGGATTGTTGTACGTTTATAAGGCGGAAGTATGCATGCATACGTAGATGCATGCATTCATTCATAGGCATGCACGCACGTATGTTTTATATTTATATTAAGACTCGTTCTAATGCTCCGCGCCATTCTTCATTATCGATCTCGCGTAAATTTTTATGTTTGGAAGCATGTTAAATACGTACTGATAATTGTTGTCTCTTTATCAGTTGGAAGTGTTCCTATGGAGAAGATGATGATTGCTGGATGTGTGCTTAATTTTGAACAGTTCTATATGGGTGGTGTTTTGAACATCAACGACTCTGGATTTAATCATTCAATTAATCAATTAATTAACTCACTAACTGGTTAATTAATTTTTTGAGATTTACATTTTTAAAACTTGTCGACGAAATGGCTGAAATTTAATGGTTTGAAATACTTTTTTTGAAATATTGAAATAAAATCAAAATTGACTGAAATGTAGTCGTTGGAGTTCGTGGAGTTAGTCGGAAAAGGTAAACTGGCTTTTCGTCGCTCTTTGTCGTCAGGTTGGGCATTTTTAATGTAAAAATTGGATTTTTTGAAAAGTATAGAATTTTAATTTGAATATTATTCTTCGATTATTTTATTTTTTTTTAATTCGTGAAATTGATAATTTAATTTTGTTTATGCAAAACTTGGGAGCATGCTCACTAAAAAAAATATAAAACAGTTCTATTTTGGCATGCGTCAAATTAACAAGAATAAGAATAGTTAAAGTAATTTAAAAATTATTTTACTAAATATTCGGTCAAACCAATATCCAAAAATTAAAATGCAATACAGAATCGCTGAAGCCACGCAAAATGCCAACTAATTGTAAAAAATTGGTAATTAAATCTTCGTCGATCAGACAATAATTGCACATTATGCAAACATTAAACAGACAACCAAAAAAAAACAAAATACAAACAAATACTATATAAACAGATATACAAAACATAAAATACAATCACAAAAATACCAAAAACATACAAAACTAAGACAAAACTAAAAAATAAGATGAATATAAGCAAAACGGAAGAGGCAAATTGAATTCATTTCAGTTGGTCCTTACTTAATTGGCATGGAAATGGCAATGTAGGCTTTTAGCTGACTATTTTTGGAGACTTTTATTTCTTTGGTTTAAGTTGATCGCTTTTTTGTTTATATTTTTTATTTAATTAATTTTATTTAAATTTATTTTAAATTTTAAATAAATCCTATCTGATAAAAGAAAAAGAAATTTTTTTATTAGTTAAAAATACAACTGTTTTGAATGGGTGAGCATTACTTACCTTTTAAATGTTCTGTTATTGTTTTACTTTACTAAGTTACACACGTCATAATTTCATCCAGTTACGTCATAATTTCATCCAGTTACGTCATAATTTTATTCAGTTACGTCATAATTTTCCCGTTTGTCGTCATTAAGTTTTATGATTTTCATTCCGGTATCTAAATTTATTAGCGGTCGTTACGTCAAAGTAATCATCATTAAGATGCTAATGCCTTATCATTACCATTGGAAAAATTAGACATTCTGATAAAAGTTATTATTGACGTCATCGTCGTCTCGTCATAATCGTTCTGATCATCGTCATTGCCATCATCATTATCTTCGCCGTCATCATAATCATCGTCGTCGTCAGCAGCCAAACTAACACATGGCGTTGGAAATAATGAGATGAGGGGAAGCAAAAATATGGAAAGCTAATGCAATAACTTATTTCCAATGTGATTGATGGATGGATGTGTGGAAAGATGAATGAATGAATAAATAGGTGAATGAATGAATGCGTGAGTGAATGAACTAATGAATGAATGAATGAGTGAGTGAATGAATGAATGAATGAATGAATGAATGAATGAATGAATGAATGAATGAATGAATGAATGAATGAATGAATGTGTTTGAAAATAGTTTGATCGACAGTTTGAAGAAATGACTGATGATGAGCAGAGTTTAAATTAATCGGTTGAATTTTACCATTTCTTTGTTTCACTTTTGACTTTTCTTTTATCGCTAATATCGGATAGTCACGAGTTGGCTCTTTGTTTACTAAAATTAAATTATTTTTTATGTCACAAATTGAAACCTAGTAAATAAAACATTCCTCAACATGTTAACTACATTTTAAATAATCGTTTAAACTTGGAGAGAGAGAGAGATAGAGAGAGTAAAAATGAAAAATATATCAACTGCGTTTTTATCCTATGTTCTTTTCATAGGTTTAGCAAAAAAAGTCAAAAATAAATTACCATTGTTAGTATAATATTACTATGAAAAATTAGTATTAGAAGTTTGTGTGTTTTACTTCACTATTTAGATGCTTTTAGAGAACTTTCGAGTTTAAAAGGAAAAGATGCCTACTTGAAACTAAATATTTTTCAAAAAACTAAAAAAACCAATTGTCCATCCAACCAACCATCAACTCAAGCTGTGCATTGTAACAAAGACTCGTAAATTGAACCAAACATCAAGCCACTGAATGTTAGGATTCACATCTCCTAACAAAGGCCCACATTCACTTTGGGGTTTTTGAGGTATTTTTTTCATAATTTCAATATATTCTTATTTAAACTCAATCAAACCATTTAATTTAGTAATTGATGTAATGTAATTGGTCATATCATTAATAGCTTTTGTGTCTAATTAAAGCAATTGTATCAATTAAAACGATAAATAAAATTAATTAAATCTAAATCAATGAGCTAAGTCGAAATATCATATACATGATCAATAGATTAAAAATCCATCATTTAAAGTTAACCAATTTATGGATTTTAAACTAAACAAGGTTTCCATTTTGTGAGAAATGTGATGCAAAACTATCAATCCAACAATTTAGTTGAGTTAATTTCTTAATAAGACAAGTTAATAAATATATATATTAAAATATTTATTAAAAATATGAATGAGTAAATTTAAAATATTTAAAATGAATTCAGTAAAAGTGAACTTTATAATTTTATTGATATATGAGCATGGATTTTTTACAATTTTTCTTTTCTTTTTGTTTTATTTTTTTAGCATTCAAAGCTACATCATAATTGTCCGAGCGGAATGAGTTTCAGTAATAGCATTTGGTTTCAAGTTTTCATATTTTATGTTTACAAGAAAATACTTACATTATCTAATATAAAAAAAATTTGAAAATGAATATTTCCGAGAGACATATTAGTGTCCATTAGAGTTTGACACGTTGTTTATGAAGAGCGAAATTTTTTCAAGGTAGCAACATCCTTCCATGTTCATCTCATTCATCATTTTTCCCATTAATTTCCCACTCAAATTTTTTTTCGTTCCTCAGTAATTCATTTATTTTTTCAAGATTAAAACTAAAACATGAGCTATCCATGGTACAAGCGATCGATTCAAACTTAGCATTGAAATTTGGCAATTGAATGTTAGGATTCAAATTTCTTAACAAAGGCCCACATTCACTTTGTGGTTTTTTGAAGTATTCACTTTCTGCCGGTTTGTGATATTGACTTTGCTGTTCTCTGTGATATTGACAATCTGACACCTGTAAATGAGACGACATTCACTTAGGCGTTAGTTAGAATTCTTCTATGTTTGAAGATTTTTGGTATAGTTGGACATGGTAGTTGGAGTTGTCACTGTATATATAAAACCTTGCCTGAAGACTAACCAGCATAACCTCCTCATATCGTTCACCGTAAACATCTTCGAGATTATTACTAAAAGTTTAACTCGATATTTTGTATAAACTTATCACGGCCCTTTGCTTGAAAATAATTTTTTGAAATTTAATAACATGGAGTTTAGAGATTACCAAGATGACGAAACTTCCAACAACAACGACGATGGTGTATATGTATACGTAACTTCCGACGATGATGATGTACATGAAATCAGCGTAAATGAGGCAAACGGAAAAAAAGATAATAAAATGGGAAGAATTAATGATGACGATTCGGATGATTCAGAAGATGATGAAGATTTGGATTCATACGATGATGATTCAGACGACAATGATGCAGACGATGAAGGTGATGATGACAGCGAAGAAATTAGAGATGATGATGACGAAAAAGATAACAATTATGCTAGGTCTCACAAAAGAAAACGCGAAGATGGCTCAGATACTGAGAGTGATCATGGGTACGAGAACTTTAATAGCGAAGGCCAGATAAGACAGAAGAGAAGAAAAATTTCGGATAACGATTCCTTGAGGGAGTATGACAACACTCATCCAACTGTAAACAACAAAACAGACAACTCTGCAACCGTTCAGGAAACTGCCTATAATGTAGTCGTTATCGGTGACAATGATGATGACGACAGTGTACACGAAGTCATCATTGTTGAAGAAGATGATGAGGATGTTGCCGTCGTAGATGTGGCTGTTGTTGATGATGACGTTCATAAGGATGATGGTGATAATAGCGATAACGAACCTCTGCGATGACAACCGAGAAATTTCCATTCCAGGCAAGTCCCTCCAGCATAAACAGACGAATAAATAAATTTGTTTTATTTTCATTAATCATGTTTTTGGATTTTAATGTTTTTTCAGTTAAACTTTAATCAACTTAATCGAAAGTGTTTAATTCAGTAATTAATTAACGTAATTGATGAAATCTTTAATGGCTATTGTGTTTAATGAATTTTATCAACCAACACAATGAAATGCGTTTTAATCTGGCTTATATTATATTTAGTTGTTTCTAAAGTTTTAATTCTCCTTTCAACTCAATTAAAACGTTTAATTAGCAAAGTAATTAGATAATGTAATTAGTCGAATCGGTGAATGGTTATGCCAATAACCAACGAACGTGTTGTATAAACTTAAACACATACAAACAAAAAAATAAACAAACTACACACAAAAACACATACACACACATACAAACACAACACACACATACATAATGTATCACATGAGAATTGTATCAACCAACACAATGAAATGCGTTTTAATCTGGCTTGTATTATATTTAGTTGTTTCTAAAGTTTTAATTCTCCTTTCAACTCAATTAAAACGTTTAATTAGCAAAGTAATTAGATAATGTAATTGGTCGAATCGGTGAATGGTTATGCAAATAACCAACGAACGTGTTGTATAAACTTAAACACATACAAACAAAAAAATAAACAAACTACACACAAAAACACATACACACACATACAAACACAACACACACATACATAATGTATCACATGAGAATTGTATCAACCAACACAATGAAATGCGTTTTAATCTGGCTTATATTATATTTGGTTGTTTCTAAAGTTTTAATTAGCCTTTCAACTCAATTAAAACGTTTAATTAGTTAATTAATTAGATATTGTAATTAGTCGAATCGGTAAATGGTTATGCCAATAACCAACGAACGTGTTGTATAAACTTAAACACATACAAACAAAAAAATAAACAAACTAACACACAAAAACACATACAAACACACACACACATACATAATGTATCACATGAGAATTGATGCTCACACTCCATAGAACTTATTTATTGTTTCATGATAGTATCATATCAATAAGATTAAGGACCTCAGATCATTATTTCTGGTTGGCTTGTTCGTTTTTATTTTAACTTTTTGCTGTTGTAGTTTCTTTGCTGTTGTTGTTTATGATGTTGTCGTTGTGCTGTTATATTTTTTGTGTGTTAAAGTTCTAAAAAATTTTGTTTGTAAACTTTTTAAAAAAGCATAGGGCGGCGCGATGGTGTAGCGGTAAATTGCCTGACAATGATAATGAGGTGACCGGATTTAAGATCACAGAGCGATACATATTTCACATATGAAGAAATACTGCGAATTTTATTGATGAAACATTATAAACATAAATATTGTCGTGGAGCTAACAATGTTCACATTGTTTGAAGCGTTACAAAAGTTAAGTTAGTATTGTTTACTTTCTGGATATTGTGAGTATTGCTAGTAAGGCTAGTACAGCAGTGGTGACTGATGCATTATTACTGCCCAAAATGGTAACTACAATGAATAACGGTTAGGATAAATGGGCCGTCGACAAAAAATATAGTTTCAGCAACCAACTCCCTCACTTGCAAATAAGTTAATTTGGCATCAGCATCAGTAGTAATCTACTTGTGTGTGTGTTTGCGTGTGTGTTTGTATGTATGTATGCGTGTGTGCCCTGTACCATTATTGTACACTCATACATGTATGTCTACAACGGGTATGTGCATGTATGTGTGCCCTGTACCATTATCATCCTCACAGCCTACATGTGTGTATGTATGTATGTGTGTGTGTATGAGTGTGTGTAAGTGTTTTTGTGTGTATGCGTGTATACGTGCCTTGTACCATTATATTAATACCTGCGCAAAACATCATTAATTTACCTACATGCAAATGTACATTGTACTGTACACCTATACGCACAGCAAAACTTGTATTATGTATACAGTTGCGTACAATTTGATTGTACTACTAACGAATACAGTGTTTATACAAATAAACATTAGTAATAATAAACATTAGTACAATTAAACATACGACATTCTTATCATAAAATTTAATCTTTAAAAATTATCTTGAATATCTTCGAGCATTTAAACAAAAGTTATCTTCACGAAATGTGTTAAATTTGAAAGTTCGTATAAGCAAAAGAATTCATTTATTACAAACCAATATACAATTTGACAAACAATTGCTAACAATTGTATAACTAATATACAAATAAATAATACAAGCAAACAAACAAATAACCAAACAAATAAACAAACATACATACATACATACACATATACAAGACAAACCTCCCAAAACATCACCAATACATCAAGACATTTTGCTGTGTAGTATTATGTTTGCACGTTGGGAGCATAAGCATCTGTTTGTAGGAACGTACGCTTTATGCCTCTCAGGGCGACTTTACTGATACAACCTACTCGTACTAAACTACTGTCACTTTTACTCTATTACTTTTACTCGCATTAGTATTAATGTAATGTTTAAGAAGTAATTGATGTAATGATGACGTTAATTACGATAGCAAAATTAATAATCTGTGTGTGTTTGTTTGTTTGTTTGTGTGTGTGTGTTGGATGTAAATATTTAACAAACACAATTCTCATACGTAAGAATTGTCAATTAAGTGACTGGTGGTAGAGGTTTGTTTTGCATTCATTCCAAGTAACTTCTGTAACAATAGAACAAACACAAAAACATTTAGGAATAATATTGATAATAATGTTAATAATGATGATGATAATAACAACAATAATAATAATAACAGACTAGCTGCTTTATTGTTCATCAACATTGGAACGAATGCAGTGTTCTCTGGAGAGTTCGACAGTCGTATTTATTTATTTTAATTTGTTTGTCTTTCTCTCTTTTTTTCTTTCGTTTTATCTTTTTCTTTCTCTCTCTCTTTTTCTCTCTCTCTCTCTCTCTCTCTCTCTCTCTCTTTCTCTTTGTATTTCTATTCTCTCTGAGTGCAATTACTTTATCATTATGTTATGTAATAAAATATCACTCTTAACGCAACAACAATCCTCACTGCTACAATCTCTACTACTTCAACTACAACAAAAACTACTACTGCTACTACTACTACTACTACTACTACTACTACTGCTGCTGCTGCTGCTACTACTACTAAACATTACTACCACTACTTTAACTAGTGTTACCGCAGTTGAAGTTGCTGCTTCAACTGCTACTACTGCCACTACTTTTACTACTAGCAGTCAGACAACGACGGTCCCTAAAAGAACGACCGAAACGATAAAAATGAATTTAGTATTTGAAAGCCCGGATGTACAGTTTATTGCAATACCCGAGTGCTGCAGAGACTAAAGTAAAGTTAGAGGTAGCGCAGTAACGAACGTTGTGTAAATTTACACAAGGTGATGTAAATTTACGCGTAATTTTACGCGTTATTCTCCGTTGAGTGATGTAATTCTGTGTAATGTTACTATCACAAGTAATGTCACATAAACAAACTTTAAGTAAAGATACACGTAGACCGCACTATTCAACTTGAAATATCTTAACTTGCAATGAAAAAAAATTGTTAATCTGAGTACATCAGACTGCTCAACTTTTTAATATAACAATGTAACGTAAAAATTGTGTGTGTGTGTGTGAAAACAGTGTGTGCATGTGTGTGTGTGTGTGTGTGTGTGTGTGTGTGAGAAAAGACTGTGTGTGTGTGCGTGTGTGTGTAGCATGACAACGTGAACATCAAATGAAATAAAATGTTATGATCATGTTACATTAGATTGCGCGGTATTACTTTTAATTGCATTTGACTTTATTTTATTCAATTGCCAATAAAACTTTACTGTTACATATGTGTATGTGTGTGTGTGTGTGTGTGTGTGTGTGCTTGCTTGTTTGTTTGTGTGTGTATGTGTACCTGTATACTGGAATTACGTTGCAGCATTTTATTGAATCGTTTTGTAGATACACTCAGAGAATTTTCATGTTGACTTCGCCTAATTGTAACTGCTTCTATATTTACACGCTGTATCGACAAGTGTAATGTGTTTCAGTAATGTTTACTGTAATGTTTACCGTAATCGTTACAGTATTGAGTATGTATTGTACTTAGTAATTTTTTTATCTTCCACTATATTAGATTGCATTTCCAAGCAGACGTTTTATTTTTTTGTTCATCATTTACAATATTGGAAGGAAAGAGGTTTTATAACTCAAATGTTTGTTGAAAGCAAGAAGTTTTGTTGTAGATTTGAAAATAAAAGTGAACAAAACATAGTAGAAAAGGCAGTTACTGCTTTTTTCCAAGAAATAATTTTTTTATTTTGTACGTGCATTTGCTGGCTGAAATGACAAGAAGGAAGTTTTGAATAAACCAAAAGGGAAAAGTTGGAAAGGCAAAGAAGTATGTGGAACAGTGAAAAATAGAACTGAAGGAGGAAAAATGTGTAAAATTAAAAAAATAAAAAGGTAGTATATAGATGAAAAAGGAGAGAAAGAGAGAGAAAAAAAGAGAGAAAAAGAAAGAAAGAGAGAAAAAAAGAAAGAGGAAAAAGAGAAAATAAACTTAATAAGCGCATGAAAACACTACAAAAGCTTCGTTATCATACATAACATGACAACAACTTCACCAACAGATCAAAGGTCAAGTATGCACACGAACCAAAGCAAATAAAAGAAGTATTCGAATGAATATTCGGATTTGAAACGACTATCGAGTATTTGAGAGAGAGAGAGAGAGAGAGAGAGAGAAAGAGAGAGAGAGAGAGAAAGAGAGAGCAAATGAACAACAAAAAGTTTCGTTGCTTGGATTGAGATTGCCACATAATTCTAACGCGATTGTCATTTTTATTCTGCATTCTCGTTTCCAATGTTTCCTCGAAAAGACAGGAGGAGTGAACTAATGATACTGAATCGCTTCCCTCTTTCTTTCCTTTCTTTACTTTTTTTCTTTCTTTTTCTTTCTTTTGTTTTCTTTTTTTTTATTTACATTTAATTGCCATCTTCTGCAGAACATTCAACTGAGAAAATTATTTATATTGTATCTTTTTTCGAATTCGGGTATTTAAAAATATTTTTAGAAGAATATTTCTGAGAAAAAAAATCAATAAAATAAATTTTTCTTTAGAAGATCCGATATTTGTAATATCAAACCTCAATGACCACTTGCGTGGAAACTTTAGACGCACTCAACAGACACGCACACATCAGCACAACAAACACGCACACACAACCTAACCTCCATATCTATGAAAATTATTTGAAAGAATAAAAATTATTTAATATGTAAAATTATATTATGGTATAGAAATTATATATACGTATATATGTATATAAATTTATAATTTATATTTTATTAATTTTTATTAATAAATATTTATTATTTTTTATATATTTTTTCATTATTTGTTTTTAATTACAATATTTTTTTGTTAGTTTCTTGTTTTCTTAGATTGTAAACAATTTTTATTTCTCAAAAGTTTTTTTAAAACCTCAAGGATTACCAGCCTATAATAGCTTTTACAATTAATTATTTTCCTGCGCAGTAGAAACAAATGTTTGTCTTTTCTTCTTCGCAGTGCTTTTAGAATGAATTGAAAGGCGAAACAATAGTGTATAATAGAATAACAGATATTTGTACATACGTATACAAAATTATACAAGCATAAATGAATGCTTGCATGCCGAGGTGCAAATATATTTTTTAGTGGGGACAAATTATTTGAAGTGTGTCAAGAACTGTTGTACGTAAAGCTTCATCTCGTCTAACATTTTTGTTTAAAATGTGAATTACCAATTTTTTCACTGTCTACTGTTTGGTACCAAGTTTTAATTTAAAATTTTTATTTTAGTTTTCTTTTTCATATGAAAAAAGAAAAAAATGATCCAACGATTATGCAAAATTTATCCGTAAGATTAAACTTTAAACAAACAAAGATTTCTCAAAAGTTGATGTTTTTGGCAAAACAGTATAAGAGGAAAAATTATGGTTCGTCCTTCTAAACAATAAGTCCTAAGGGCGAGATAACACGGCAGTCTTTCTATGTGGGTAGGCACCTAACAACTTTATAATTTGTAAACCAAAATATACGGTACACCCACACGTTTAAGCAAATATGTCCATGCATGTAGAGACACGTTTTTGTAATGCAATAATTGATACCGAATGCAAGAATGGGGAAACATACATGAATAGGTATACATACATTAACCTAACTAACAAAAACAACAACAAATGTAATAAATTTGGATACAGTGTAGAAAATAAAAAAAAGTACATACAAATAAATTAAAAATAATTGGCGAAAAACAGAAAAAAAACAAACAAAAATTAAAAAAATTATTTTTCAAGTAAAATATTCTTTTGGTCCTGCGAATCTTATTTTTTCCTCCGTTCGTGTATTGATTAAACAAAGAACTACACTCGCATATGTCGGCTTCACACGCCATCCGTCCAAACTACAACGCTGTACATACACAGACGCATACAACACGTGCGGTACAATATTGTAACATACCCATAAATACTGTAACATACCGTAACATAGACCATAGAGTTTTTTTCATTTTGGAGTTTTTTCCCCACAGTTCGTTTTTTGTGTTAGTTTTAATGTTGTTGTTTAAAAATTTTTGGCTTCATGATTTTATTTTTTGTCGGTTCTGTTGTTGTATTTTGTAGTTTTTTGGATTATTTTAGAAAGCTAATAATTTTGTTGATGTTTTTTTATTGTATTTGTTGTTTATGTCGTTAATTTGTTGCTGTGTTGTTTTGTGGTTGTTGTTTTGTTGTTGTTATTGTTGTTATTATTGTTGAAAATTCTGTAATACCTCTCAGCAGATTGTGAACACGTGTCAAGTGCATTTCATGATGACATCGACAACTCATCATCATCTTTATCTTCACCATCCTCTTCGCCGTCGTCGTCTTCATCATTCCCTCCGCAGCTTTTTTCATCTTCTTCGTCGTCATTATCGCCGTCGTCATCGTCAGTGTCTTGATGACATCATTAGCTCTAAAGAACAGCGTAACCATTATTTACAACTGCCTCCAGAAAATCATCTTCACAGTCATCGTCTTCGCCATTCTACTCTCACACCCTCTCATCATCATCATCATCATAGTCAGTATCATCGTACTCAGCAACCTTCTTCTCCTACTCATCGTCGTCGTCATCGTCGTCTTCCTCATCATCTTCATTCTCATCGTCGTGGCACCCTCCATTGTCAGTCAGAGGAACAAAATTCTCAGCTAAAAACCCGACAACAAAATTATCGACAAAAAATACAATATCATAAACAACAAATTCAACAACAACAAAAACCCATTCTGCAACAAAATAAATCTAAGTTAACATTGAAACAAAAACGACGTCAACGCATGTATTTACGAAAACAGCTACCAGCACAACCACAACGGCAGCAGCCACTACAACCACAACAGCCACAGCAACCACATCAGCCACAGCAACCACAACAGCCACAGCAACCACAACAACAATGCCATAAATACACCCGCCATTATCAGAATTTCATTTTATTCTCCCTTCTCACAATTCTAATGGGTATTGGTGCTGCTCAAGGTTGTTGTGGTGATGATGATGATGGTGATGACGATGATGATAATGATGATGCAAACGGTGATGATGATGATAATGATATCGACAAAGGTAAAGATGATGGCGAAGCGATTGTGACGACGGAGAACACTGGTGATGATGACTATGATGATGAGTGATGACGTTTCGGATGGTAACAACATAACATGTCAATGATATCTGGATGGAATGATGATAATATGATAATGAAATTTAAAACGGTGGAGATGTTGTATTTTTTCTCTTTTCACTTTCTCCATTTCTACTTGTTAATCTTTGCCAAGACTGCCAAACAACCACTTACAATTATGTAAATTAGTATAGGCTTCCAAACTCGCCTGTAAATTTTTTGTAAATGTGTGCGCCCGCATGTGTATGTATGGTGTGTGTGTATTTGTATGTGTGTATGCATGTGAATGTGTATCTGTCAATGTCTATGTGTGAATGTGTGTGTGTTTTTGTTTGTGTAAGTGTGTGTGGATATATATGTGGGTATGTATAAATGTTTGTGTCTAAATATGTGTGTGTGTGCTTGAATATTTATATTTGTGTGAAGAATATGTCTGCATGGAAATGCGTGTGTGTGTGTGCTTGTGTGTGTGTATGTCTGTGCAAACTGACTGCACAAACTATGTTTGTCTTTATGAATGCAACGTATATGTAGATGGTGAAGATGTAGATGGTGAAGATGAAGATGGTGATGAAGATGATGATGAAGATAATAAAGATGAAAATGATTATGGTGATGATAGAGTTGAAGATGACGATGACGATAGCCAAGCAGGTAATAACGACACAGCCTTTGGCAAGAATGGGAAAAATGATCGTCGCATGAATGCCTGTATAAATATACAACAACAAAAACAACAATAATAACATTAATAATAGCAACAACAGTAACAACAATAATAATAAATAATAACCGTTATTATTATTTTTATTTTGCCATAATTTTTAATAATATTTTTTTTTAAATTTTTTCTTAGGAGCCGGTTCTTGCAATAAAGATCAACAGAATGCATGCTTGCAAGCAGGTGTTTGTTGTTGATGTGGTTGTTGTTGTTGATGTTGTTGTTGTTGTTGTTATTGTTGTTGAAGATGATGTTGTTGTTGGTGTTGTTGATGATGCTGTTGAAGACGATGTTGTTGTTGTTGATGATGTTGATTATGTTGTTGTTGATGATGTTGTTGAAGATGATGCTGATGTTGCTGTTGATGTTGTTGTTGTTGATGATATGGTGTTGTTGTTTGGGTTGATGTAATAGCGGATATTAATGACGTTAATGATGTAGTTATACTGGACAGTGATGAATACTCTTGCCGAAAACATTTTCGGAAAAAAAAATATAACTCTTAAAATGATTTTTGGTTTTTAATGATGACGTTGTTGTCATCGTCATCAGCATTATCGTCATATTCATCATTGCGATCATTGTCAACATCACTATCACTATCACCATTACTATCATCATCATTATCATCAGTCTACGTTCACACTTAACTCGTTCACACATTCCATTATACATCATTATACATACATACATACATACTTACATAAATACATACATACATACATACATACATACATACTTACATAAATACATACATACATACATACATACATACATACATACATACATACATACATACATACATACATACATACATACATACATACATACATACATACATACATACATACATACACACATACATACATACATACATACATACATACACACATACATACATACGTACATACATAAACACACACACACACACACCTACATACTTATATGTTACAAATTCTTTTCATATACATACATTAAAAACCCATCCATACAAAATGCTGCTATAGGTTCATCCAAGCGTTTAATGATGTGCATATAATTCAATACAAATAAACCTTGCACATACACGCAAAAATATTGGCGTGTCTGTCTGTATATTTATACGCGCCATGTACGCAACATTCATTCACGTTACGCAGAAGTGGGCAATGTTCATCATTTCTAGATTTCTTATATAAATATATACATACATACACCATACACACACACACCACGCACGCACGCACACACAAACACATACACACACATACATACACACATATAGGTACATATATACATGCGTGCACACTTAACATACATACACCAATACGTATTTATATGTCCATCAAGGCACACATGCACACATACTTACGGGTATAAAAAGTTGAAAAATTTGACGTCAGTCCAGAGTTTTTTCCCTGTCTATATTTAAAGAGTGATTCAAATTATTTTCTGAAAAGTATTTGTAGGTCGTAGAAATTAATTTTTTAAATTTAGTTAATTTTTACCAGTTCACGTGAAGATGGTATTTCAGATTAAGAAATGGAAATGTAGTTTTTCAGAGATTTGGTTAACAGTAGAAGACAGTTTAAAGATAACGACCGTTACCCTTCTATTCAAATTCAAGGTTTAAATAAGAGGCACAAACACGTGCAAACAAACGTGTTCATAGTTCATGCGCAAACAAACATGTTCATGCATGCAAACATTCACAAACATCTCTTTGTATACAATTGTAGAAAACTGGGTCTACTTGTGATAGTGAATTCCAATGTAAACAAATACCTCACAGATTTTTGTCCGAATTTTGTGTGATTGCTTTCTCATCGAAGAAAAAATAAATTCATTGTCACATCAATATATTTCACTTTTTTCTTTTCTGTACTTCTTTCTTTTTTTCTCTCTTTCTTTCATTCTTTCTTTTTCAATATCACACAAACGATCCGTCAATCATATGAACTGCCGCATTCTTATTGGCTGAAATCTTCATTTATCTTATACTTTTACTTTAATAACTCAGCCCAGAACAAAGTGCAGAAATTTTCTATGCATCTTATAATCTACTGCAGGGGTGGGCAAACTTTTTGCTGTGAGGGCCGCATTGAGAACTAACTATTTTACCTTTGAAGGACCGCATAAGTACTTAAAAAGCAAATTATTTTTTCGACCCGGGGGAGAATTTTTTAAGATTTGTGGCTTCTTTTTTCTGTCATAATGTTTGCTCCCCCCCATGATCTACTGTATATATATTGTTTTGTATTTATAGCAAGTCAGACACTTCTGTCGTAATAATGTGACATGCAGACAATTTTTCCGAATAGTTTAACAACACGTTAATAATAAAAAATTCTTAGAGGTGTATCAACAAATATGTGAATAGGTCTGAATCCGGACAACACACGCATTGCCAGTGGCAAGACTGAGATGCAACAGCAAAAATTATGTTATAATCATTAATTTTATTTAAATTTAAAATTTTATTTAAAAATCAAATAGTCAAATTCACGCAGAAAAAATAAAACAAACTAATAAAACATTCCCACGCACACACACACATACACATACACACACACAAACACAAACACACAGAGACAAACAGTGAGTGAATATACACACCACGACAGCATGATACATAAGATAGAGACATTGCAATCTTTTCTTTTTCTTCCGTCTCTTTAAGGTTTTATACATTGCGGAAGTTTTTACCTATGATTTATATATCGGCGCTGGCTTTGATGGATTGATGGTCATTAGCTTTCTTGTCTGCGTTCGTTCGTTCGTTCTCATTTTTCTGTTCGTCTGTTTGCTTGTTTGTTTGCCTGTTTGCCTCTGTGTTAGTTTATTTATAACTTATTTGTTTGAATGTTTTAAATTGTGGATCTGTTTATGTTTTTGCACGTCCTCGATGTTTAGTTGGTTGTGGATTTATTCATTGAACATTTTATCTTCTGTGTGTTTGTATGTTTGCCATAAATTTAAATGACATTTCAATTGCCGGTCTCCGTGAATAATTTTTTGAAAGAAATCACAAAGTATGTGTAGTTTGAATGTTTTTGAAAATAAAATTCACACACTTGTAATTATTCTGAATGTTTTTGAAAAACAAAATGTTTTAATTATGGTTGCAATATAAGCGGTTGGTGTGTAAGGATATTCTGTAATTATTTGCTCTGAATCAAAAATTTGTTCACGATATTTACATTATATATATATATATATATATATATATGTGTGTGTGTGTGTGTGTGTCTGTGTCTGTGTTTGTGAGTGTGTCTGTGAGTGTGCCCATGATTGATCGCTGCTATGTACAGTGCGCTATTTTAAACGCCGCGGAAATGAATTTGGAAACATCATACCAACACAAATAACTGTCATTTTTATGAGCTCCGTTTGCTTATAAATATTCATACATACACATACATGCCTATCTACATATAAACTTACGTACCTACATAGCTGGATATATACAATATACGTATTCACAAATATATGTCCCTGCAAACTTGTATGTAATACCTAAAAGTACATATCGGGTCTATTTATTTTCGTTCATCTCATTAATCATACATCTCCATTCATGTTTCTTAAAGTATCGTTTGAACGCTGTTCCTTCGTTCGTGTGTTTGTTTCTTTCTGAATGTCTTTGAGCGTGTGTATCTTTTGTAGTCTTTCATTTTTCATTCATTCGTTCACTCGTTCATCTATCAAATTTTCTATTCTAGTGGTCCTGCATATGTACGTGGGAATTGCCCAATGAGAGTTACACGTGCATTCAGGCATCATCTTACGTATAGGCATTTCGTTACTCAAAAAATCTTATTAACGCACACTGACTTTCCTACACAAGACTACCCAAATAAAACAACCACAACTCATCAACTATTCATCACCACAACCACCCCCCACATCTGCAGTTACAGAGAAGCGACTAAACTGGCTGTCGAATGGTGGTGAGTGCATGGTGAACCAGTACGTGCACTTCACCCATCTCTGCATCGTCTCCAACTACCTGCCCTTCTATAACTTCTGCTGCTGCGCGTTCACCAAGGCGCTCGCTTCACCGACCACCTCGTCGTCGTCGTCGACACGGAAAAATAAAAATAATAAAAATAAGATGAATAATAAGGATGGTATTGATAAGATAAGTAATAAAAATAAAAAGAAAGTAGATAATAATCATAGTAATAATAATAGTAATAATAATCGTAACGATGAGGATGGAAAGAAGGAAGCTAGGAAAACGAAAGCTAATGAAGCGAGCATAAAAAGAGCCGTGAAGGAAAAGAATAAAAATAATAATAATAATAACCATAATAATAATAACAATAATAACCATGATAATATCAATATAAATAATAAAAATGCTAAAGACCGAATGAATGTTAAGCTGGATGTGGGTATGGGAGTGAAACATCACCATGACTCTATCGTGACGCCTAAATATAACAACAACAATAACAACAATAACAACAACAATAATAATAACGCAAAAATTACAAATGATAATGATAGCAGTAGTAGTAATAGTGGTAGTAGTAGTACTAGTGGTGGTAATAGTGGCAGTAGTAGTAGTAGTGGTAGCGGTCATAGTCAGTTATCGTCAAATTTATCTGAACACAAAAATCTTCTCAATAATGCTGAAATTCTTATTGATCAAAAGAATATAAATAACAACAATAATGATAATAATAACATCAACAATAACGATAATAATAGTCATAAAAATAAAGATGCGGCTTCAAACAACGACATTACTGACGACGACGACAATGTCGTCAACAAAAGCGACAGCGACAAAAACGCTGATGACGCTAACAGCAAACACAACAACAACAACGGTGATGACGATGATGGCGGTGATGATAATGATAATGGTGATGAGGAGGAAGAGGAAGAAGTGACAAATGCAGCTCTCTGCTGCAGATACCATCACGATTGGAGTCATTTTCGTTGCCAAGAATCTGAGGATGTCGTGCGTGCAAGGTAGTAGTAGTAGTTGTAGTAATAGTAGTGGTAGTGGTAGTTGTGGTAGTAACAGTAGTAGTAGTAGTAGTAGCAATGGTAATAGTAGTAGTATAGTGGTAATTGTGGTAGTAACAGTAGTAGTAGTAGTAGTTGCAGTGGTAGTAGTAGTAGTTGTAGTGGTAGTTGTGGTAGTAACAGTAGTAGTAGTAGTAGTAGTAGTAGTAGTAGTAGTAGTAGTAGTAGTAGTAGTAGTAGTGGTAGTGGCAGTAGTAGTAGTAGTAACAGTAGTAGTAGTGGTAGTAATAGTAGTAATATAGTAATAGTTATAGTTGTTGCAAGTTATATATCTTCATCATAACTTTTTATGTCATTATTCTTCATCAGGGCTTTCAACTTGACTGTCGTCACTATTAATAATCAATTTTTGCCAATAGAAAAGCGTTATTGTAATTATTGAACATTTGTCGTCTTCATCATCGTCGTCATCATCGTCGTCATCATCGTCGTCATCATCATAACTACAATGAACCGCACCATAATCTTCATTATCATCATGATTACATTTTCATCATTATCAAAATACACCACACCATCATCATCATTGTCGCTGTCGCTCATCAAAATAGACTACACCATCATCATTATCATCATCATCGCCATCGTCACCATCATCATCACCATCATCACCTCCATCGTTATCACTACCATCATCCTCGCCAGCTACCAGGCCACAGCTCGCGACCTTCTTGTGGGCTTCATATCGTGGGACGGAGCTACGGTGTGTGTGGTTGTCGGCCTACTTCTGCTCCTACTCACCTTCATCTTCATCTTCTTCAAAGTTTGGCTACACGCTTACAACAACAGCGCCAGCAGCAGTAATAACTGCTGCGGCAAAAGCAGCTGTGACAACAGCAGCAGCAGCAAAGATGGTTTGGCTTCAACTACGACGGCGAGTAACACAACTGTTCTAGGTGGCAATGGAATTGTCGTTGTTGACGATGCTGACGATGGCAATTGTGCTTTATTTGGTTCGTTCGTTTGTTCGTTCGTTTGTTTGATGTTTGTTTGTTTGTTAGTCTGTTCAGTTGTATATTTATTCATTTATATTTTATAAATGTAGATGCACATTTGAATAGTTTTGTGAAAACTTTTTTAGTTTTGTGAAAACTGATTTTTTCTCTCTTTTACTTATTTTTACAAAAATTTGCTTAAACTCAACCAGATAAATCAAAGCAGAAATCAAAACTGTTGATTTCAACATCAGCAGCAGCCCAACAGCAGCAATCCCACTCCTCATCCTCTTCCTCTCTAGCATCTCCATCCTCCTCCAAACCTCTGCCACCTCCCTACGATGAAATCTTTAAAACTGATCCCGACTCGAACGTCCCAACCCTCCCATCGCATCCGTACTACTTCCGCTATCGACAACAACCTGCTCAAAAGAGTAGCGATACAAACAACAACAGCAACAACAACAAAAGTGCTGATAACGTCACTTTAACAGCAGCAACGGTAGCTGAAAACACTGCCATAACCACCACCAAACAGAAAGAACAGTATTTAACGTCGTCAAAACAATCGCCGACATCAACTGCAACTACAACGTCAGAAATATATAGCGGCAACAACAACAACAACAACAACAATAAAAATCACCATATCAACAAAAACAGCAGCAGCAACAACAACAAAACTTCGGCCTCAACTCGCCACCCCAAATTAAAGCACACAGCTCGAGCATCAATCGCCTGCGACTTTTTCAACGGCCCATCGACGGATCTCGAACACCGCGACTTCAAACGCTTGCATTCCAACAACTACGAGTACTATTACCAACCTTATCGCTACAGTTTCAATGAAGATCGCGACGACTACTACAGCAGCTACAGTAGCGACAATAGCGATACGGAAAGTAGTTTAACCGAAGTGGGGCAGTACTCTTTCTACAGACGTCGAATACTCGGTTTCGATTCCAGGCAATCGCCGTCGTTTCAAATTTCTAACGGTCGATCGCATCGTCATAAAAGCAGCCACGCTCCTCGCCACTACCGCCACCATCAGCGGCATCACAAACACCGACACTTGAGTCGCCAGGGAATGGACACTATCACTTCGACAACGTTGGATGAGATCAGACCAACAAGCAACAACTTCAGCAACCAGTACAACTTCAGCAACCAGTACAACTACAACAATCAGAGCAACTACAACAATCAGAGCAACTACTGCAATCCAAACCACTATATTAAAGTCGATTCCAATTACGACATCATTGCTCCCGGCTACAAGCATACAAAGCCCACTGATAAGAACATTTACAGCCAGTTAAACAACAACACAAAAGCGGATAAAAATATTAAAAGTAGCAACAACGACACCAAGAACACTAACAAAGAACTGTCCAATGATTACGGAAGTTTATTTACTTTTGACATCAAACAAGATGAGCTCGACGGCAAACAGCAGAACGTGCTGCAACCGAACGCCGCAAAGGCAAATGAAGCGGCAGAGGAACGTGTTGTTAATGTGACGCAGGCGACACCAGCTGCCATGAAATCTTGCGACTAAATTGATCGGTTTAGCTAAACATTTGCGTTGTGTGCATTTTGTGTGAACATTGTTTAAACATGTACGTACATGATAATGCGTATGAATTGTTGTGGGTACACGCATGCACACATATGCACATAGTTTTGACAAAAATGCGTGTATTTTTATGTAAATGCAAGCTTGTTCTTATAAGGACTACCTAGTTTGAAAAGTGTGTGCTTGCTTGTGTACTTATACGTGGTGTGTGTATGTATGTATGTGTATATATATATATATATATATATATATATATATATATATATATATATAACTACACGCTCCTTAGTCGTGATTTTATCTACTTATATTTTCTCTCAAAATTTCAGCGCTCTTTTATGCGTGTTTATTTTTTATTTTGTTTGTCTCTTCATTAGTATTTGAGGTTGTTTTAATTTGGAATAGATATCTCATAACTTGTACTCACTTGTCTCCGCCTGTATGCTGGACTTATCCATGCTCCAATGCTTGCTGTCCTTTCATACTCTTGTCAGTCAGTGCCGTATTATACAGCGTACATCGTGTTATGTTGGATTGGTTGCATGTTGTTGTTGTTGAGTATGTTTGTTGTTGCATGTTGTTGTTGCATGTTGTTGTTGTTGTTGCATGTTGTTGTCTACGTTTGTTGAGCGGCAATGTATTTGTAGTTGCCTGTGTTGTGGTTGTCGTCTGATCCGCATCACTCACTATGTATCGAATTGTTGTCCTGCTGTGTTTGTTTGTGTTGTTACTAGTCAATTGTTATATAATGTACTTGAACGGTTGTGATGGCATATTTCGGTAACAGATTTTTTTATTAAAATACAAATTCCGCAGACACACTCATACATATATAATCACACACACACGCACGCACGCACACATACACACAAACATACACACACAAAGACACACACATTGAAACACACATACCCACCAACACACATACACAAACATTTAAAAAATTTCCCACACATAACGTTGTAATTACACAATTTTGTGAACATAAATTCTTTGCAAATAATTATTCCAGAATTCATTCACCAATTTTTCCGTTACAAAACTTCTTTATTTTTTCTTGACATTTTTTTTAATTCCTTTTATTCACAAAAAAAGTGAAAGAGTCAGCCTAGCAATAAATGCTTATCTAGGGTTGACTCCCATAAAACAAGAAATAAAATTTTACAAATTAATAAGGATTCAAAGTGGGAAGAGCCATTGTAAAAAAAAAACATAACACACACACACACACACACACACACACACACACACGCACACACACACACAATAAAAATCTGTATGAAAATTCATTAACATTCCTGTATTTTATTCTAAATAGATACAACAGATGCAAATATCTCTTTAATTTGCATTGCCTCTGACGTTTGAACCAAAATCTTCAGTGGATCGATCATTCCATAAAAAAAAACTAACTTTCCAGATAAAACATTATGTGTGTGTCTTTGTGGGTGTCTGTGTATGTGTGTGTCTAAGTGTGTGTGTGTGCGCGCGTCTTTGCTTGCAAATATCTGCGTATATCTATAAAGATACACTACCAGCGTAGATCTATATAGACACAGACATAAGCAAGCAAAACTGTCTTGTTGAGACGAAACTAATTAGGGGAACACGGGCTAGTACTCGGACGATTACAAACAATCACGCCATACAAGACACACGCACAGGTCAAAAATACGTGTTTGTACTTTGTACTTTCTATTACACCTATACCTATGAGTACTTTCTGCTATTCTTTCTTTCTCTTTCTCTCTTACACACCTTCTCTCTCTCTTTCTCTCTCTCTCTTTCTCTCTCTCTCTCTCTTTATATATATATATATATAGAGAGAGAGAAAGAGAGAGAGAGAGAGAGAGAGAGAGAGAGACTTGTACTAACACACACACACGCAGACATTGAATATAATCATTATGATATTTATAATTGAGTTACATATAATCATTGATGTATTTTCTTTAATTTCTCATTGATGGTCCAAGTCTTGAAGGCTTTTTCTAGTTATATGTATAATTGCAAAGACACACAGAAACACACACACAGACACACACACGCCAAAAACACACACCCACATGCTTGAAAAGCATCAACTGTATTAGGTCATTGAACTTCTATTTTTGGCGCCCTCAAAACGAAAGAAAATGAAATAAAGTTTAAAAAAAAACTTGCCGTCATTCGAAAAAAATTAGTTTCGGTGTATGTGATGTTTGTAAATGTAATGTAATGTGACGTAATGTGATGTGATACGACGTTATGAGTATATAAGTACAGAATTTTCGACAAAAAAAATCAAGAGGTGTTAAGACGTGACTGTGCAAGTTCACTATGAGTACAAGCTGCATAAGAGTATTATGCATTTGATGTAATGCAGAAGATACAAGCACCGGTGTAGAATGTACGCCTCATATTCATATTCATACGCATTCGTGTTTGTGGGTGTGTTTGTGTGTGTGTCAGTGTGTGTGTTAGTGTGTATGTGTGTGTGTGTGTGTCTGTGATTGTGGTGTGAGTGTCTGGTAGTACTACTTAGTGAAAGAGGCTTTCTAAATTTAAAATTGATTGTAAGCTGTTTTAGGGATGATGGAGAATCTTTCTCAGCTGTGTCATTCAACAATCCTTCTCCCAATTTTTTTCGAAAAGATAAAATGGACGTTAAATATTTCTGAAAGCTCTTCCTCTTGAAAAAATGTAACGTACATCGCATTAGAAATTTATTTTATTTTTTAAAACTCACAGCGAACATCTTATTTCGGGATCAACAATTTCTAGTTTGGGTAAGACTATTTATTTTTAACTATTTATTATTTTTATTTTATTATTTTATTTCAAAAAATAATAATTTTTCCGGTTTTTTTTGCTATCCTCTCAGTCAAGGTGTTAAATGAAATTTTTAATATAGAACCATACAAATCTATGGTTGATATATGGTTCACAGATATACAAAAATGTTATTTTCATCAATATTTCCAAATTTGAAAATGATTGAAACTGGTGAATTAAACGAGTCGACCCTTGCTCATTAATAGCAAATGCTATAAAATGAAAATTTTTGGCAAGAAAGCGCAGTGTGAATATTTAATATGACACATTCGGTGTATGACGTAGATAAAGCTGGAATGTCATAATCGTTGGCATGCAATTTTTCATAAATGTGTGTATGTGTGTTTGTTTGTGTGTGTGTGTATGAGTGAGTATGCATGTATGTGTGGGAATATGTATGTGTGTGTGAGTATGTATGTGTGTGAGTATGTATAAATATGCGTGTGTGTGTGCGTGTGTGTGTGTGTGTGTGAGTATGTATGTGTGTGGGTTTGTATGCATATGCATCTGAGTGTATGGATGGATGTGTGTGTATTTGAGAGTAACTGTGTGTATTTGTCTGTTTGTGTGTGTGTGTGTATGTATTGTATGTATTTCTTTGTTTGTACGTGTGTATGTGTATGTATGTGTGTATATGTGTAGGTGTGTGTATGTATACGTTTGTGGGAATGTATGTGTGATTGATGACGTGTTTTGATGAGTTTTTTTCATAACGTAGTCATTGATGAGCTTTTCTCTGCGTGCTAATAATCTAATCGATGCATAATTGATGACGATGACGACGATGATGATAATGATGACTATGATGATGATGATGACAACGGTGATGATGATAATGATGACTATGATGATGATGATGATGACGGTGCTGCAGATGATGATGATAATGATAACAATCATTTATGTTGTGGCCGTGATGCGATGACGACGATGATGAGGAGGGTGTTAATTAGAAAGATGGTGGCCATAACGATGTCCACAGTCTCCCCCCCCCCTAACGATGATGATGAAGAAGAAGATGATGATGGTGATGGTGGTTATGATTTATGGCTTTAATATCTTAAAGTGGCCCCAAATGTTCTACGTATAATTCTTACCATGATTGGAAGTTAATTTGACGCCTTTTAAAACTTAATTGCTACTTACTTGGTGCATGTTTTCGGCATGTTTCTCATCAGATTTATTGGGAGTCAACTTTACGATGATTAAAATTTAATTGTAAAAATTTTTACATATATTTTTTATTTATGATGGATTTTATATTTATTATGGCCTACCTATTGAATTTTTAATTAAATATTTTTTTAAATTTTCATGCTCCTATACCTACATAAACCACTTTTTATCTTCTTTCTCACTTTCTCAAATTTTCAATCATACAGCCACACACACACACACACACACAAACAAATACACGCTCATACACACGCACACATATTTATGTATACGCACACACACACGAACATACACACGCACACATACATATATACACACAAACACACCAACACATCAAAACTACTCAGTGGCAAACTCGAACAGCAATACCATAGGAGCATATATCAGATAAATTTCAAACAAATTGTTCGACTAATTGATTTGAAAGTGATGAATCGAGATGCTAATAAACGATGACGTAGCAGGAAACAGAATTGTAAACAGGAAACAGAATTGTAAACAGGAAACAGAATTGTAAACAGGAAACAGAATTGTAAACAGGAAACAGAATTGTAAACAGGAAACAGAATTGTAAACAGGAAACAAAATTGTAAACAGGAAACAGAATTGTAAACAGAATGGTAAACAGCTCGTGCACGTAATAATTCATATAACAATTCGTATAACATTTTATTTAGCAATTTGTGTATAGCAACTCAATTTGTCATCACATCAATGCATTATAACGACTATGATGATGATGATGATAATGGTGATGATGATAATGACTGATGATGATGGTGAGGACGATGATGATGATGAGGACGATGATGATGATAATAGGTAGTGACGACGATGACGATGATGATGACAAACAATAATGCTCATTTTTTTTAAACTCACGTAATCGTGAGTGTGATTTTAAAAAACTTCAAACTCTAAACGTATAATATGTGTGTGTATTTATGAACATACATACGTACATGCATACATACATACAAACATACATATGT